ATCTCTCATTATCAAGCAAATTATATCTGTACAGCTTTTGACCAGGATTGTCCCAGAATTGTCCTCTACTCCTGCTATCCTGCCCACTCTCCTAGTCCTGAGGAGTAGGGATATCCAGACCTGAGAAGAGAAAGGGCCAGTATATCCATCAGTTACAAGTGCTTCTCCTTTACCTGCCCAAGTTAGCATGTGCATCATCTCTTTGCCCCTGTTTTGAACACCAGAGCAAATAGTAAGACTTAGATAAGGGGAAGGATCTTCCCAGATTGTCCCTGGGTTTGAAGTGAGGCTTTTTTTGTCCCTGTGCATTTCCTAAGAAATATTACCTTAAATATAATGAATAACTTTTAGTGTTCCATCCCAAATGCATATTTATCAGCTTAGTTTATCTGCCAATAAATGCAGAAATAAAATAGGCAGTTAGGACATGTATTATTTTTTTGTGATGGATTATTTCTATTTGTTGACCTTTGGTCAACAGCTGCAAGCAGCAAAAATACTCATGCAAAAAAGTATGTGCCCCAGACGCTTTTTATCTTTGAAAGATTAGGAACATTAAGCCCTTTTCTATAAATTTTTGGGTTTTGGCAAGTTCTGGATATGCAAATATTTTCCAGACACATGGAGCAAATAGTTTGGGAAGCCCAAATACAGAATGTCTGTGCATGTATGAGAAATGTGAGAGAGGTTTGGGACATTTTTTAAAAAAAAATATTCCATTCAGAACCATATCTATAAATAATGTGCTCTTTAAGAATGTAGGCTACATGACTTTCAGTTTGACCTTGCTGCTTGATCGGCACAGGGGAACGGGGCTCCGCATCCCCACATTGAATCCTCTCATCAGAGCCCCCCAATGGGCAAAAGTCACCCTGTAGGGATGACATACATGGAGGGACACCCTGCAGGTTGCAGAGAGCAGTGGATCTCCTGCTGGACCCAGGGTTTCTTCCCTCTTTGCTGAAGACAAAGACGAGGCGGCCAAAATGGCTGCTGTGAAGCTGGGGCAGCCGAAGAAACCAAGATTGTGCTGGACTGGTGTGAGTGGACAGTGATTGGAGCTGAGTGAAGTGACTTTTGAATGTTGCTTAGGATTTACCCTAAAAGAAAATTAATCAGGAAAAAGAGGCTCTCTGGAATACTTTCTAGCAGCAACTAAAGAGAGGCAGAGAAAAACTGCACCCTAACAGGAAATAAGTTAAAGTTTATAATACAGAAAGACTGGTTGTATAAATCTTATTGGCATGACCTAGAATGGGCATTTTACAATGCTGGACACCGGACTGGCTATTGGATATTTTGTTTGAAACATTTTGAAATAAATAACTGATAGAACAGCTTTAAAGTGGATTTTTAAACCTTGATTTCTAAGTGGAAGGCACCATCTACTGGTGAATGGATATATGCTATGTCATACCCCTAAAGAATAATAGAGCAACCATGGGAAACCTTGATAAGAGAAGAATAACACCTGGAGGTTTGCTATATTATTTATTGTTCTATACTTATCTACTTCATGGTGACTAGAGGATCAACCTTGAAAACCTGGAAGATATCTAATAGGATAACTTTTGGACATTGAAACTAACTAGCAAATTAAAAGGTAATTTAAAGAATCATTTGGAAAAAACCCTGGTGTTAGCCTTCGTTTGATTTCATAGGAATTCTAGCAATAAACTATGTTATTCACAGGGTTTTTGTGAATAGGTACATTTATTTTTGCTCGTTGTCCTTCAAACACGGCAACAACCATTATACTGGATAAAGTCAGCGCTGAGATCATTCGCATCTCAGCGCAATTTATCATGAGGCCCCACCCCATGGAGCTAACTAACATCCGCCCTCCCCATTAGTCCTATGCACCTCCACCCCGCAATTCTAAATGCAACTAATTTACCAAGCAGTTTAAATCTCGAGCTGCGACTTAATTTCCCCAATTCCACCCCAATGAGACTCCGTGTTTTGTTTCGGGAAATGAGATGAGTCGGAGCGATAAGCCTCCTCCCACCTCCATCCTTGTCACATGTCCGTGGCAATACGGGATAGATGAGTCAAGCCAGGATGGGATCTGCAGGAGTGAAAAACCTTCCCCGAGGATCTGCAGGAGTGGAAAACCTTCCCCGGCCAAGTCAATACATTGGAAACGACAGGATTGGATGTTCCTTCCCCAATCAAGATAATGTGTTGGGCTTCACTCCAGGGATAAACCGGTAGGATCATTGAAGCCAAACACATGGACTGTATAAATAAAACCTATTGATTAACTGTGAGATATAAAGAACTATAACTATTATATTTCCTGATGAACAGTATCAAGATCAAATAATCTGCTGGCTTTGGGACATCAAAAAGAATAGCCTCTGGAGCAGTGACAGATTACTGACAGAACATTGTATATTTTTTGGACTTTTTAAAAATAAGGCAAGATGGTCCATCAGGAAGAACCAGGGGCACAAAAAGAAATTATGATGTTACTTCAAAGCTTTTATGATGGGGAATTTCAGGGAGATAAAGGACCTATTACATAATATATCTGGAAAGACTGAAAATGTGCAACAAAGAATAATGAAACAAGATAATAAAACCCAGGAAACTGTAAGCTTAGAGGATGCGATAGAACAGATGACAGAGCAAATAAAACAAGGAGAAAAGAAGGAGGAGATCATAAAGTTGGGTGAAATAAAGTTGGTGAAATATATATTAGGAGGTAGAAAAATGGAATTGAATAAATTGAAAGATATTTTTGGAAAAAAGATAGAGGATTTGACAGAGGACTTATGGGTGGACTGGCAGCAAAAAATAGTGGGGATGGAAACAATGGTTGGGTTGAATATGAAAGATGTAGATAAGGACCCAAGGGAGGAGTATGGGACACAAGTCAAAAAGAGAAGAAGTGAAACTTTCGAGAGAATGAGAGATGATGAATAAGAAGGATTTTTCTTAAATAAAAACAAGAGTAGCTGTACCAAAAAATAGAATAGATTAAAAATTAGAAATGGGGGGAATATTGTTATACATATTTTTACATAATACATTTAAAATAAATGTTAGAGGTTGAGATTAGATTTTGAAAAAGGATGTTATCAGGTATGCTCAAAAACAATACTATTACTATTAGAAGAATGTAGCAAATATTGCATAATTGAAAAATGGATTATGTACTGATCCAGAGATGTATAATAACATTAAATCACATAAGTCTGATTAATGTAGTAATTTTCATTTGCACTAATATTACTTTTGTATTAAAATGAATGACGTTCAGATGCCACATTGTCCATGAAATGATGTTGATGTATGTTTAAAAATTAAACTTTACAAAAAAAAAAGAATATAGACTATATGTGCCTCTCAGACCATCAGAGCCAAATTCACAATTTAAGAAGGCTGTTGAAAATAATATAGCTATTTCAAACTTAGTTTTTTTTCTTTCTGATGTCTCTTCCTTCATGAAACAAACATGAAAGCCTGAATTTTGACCATATATATCCAAAATATATTAGCAGAAATCCCAAATGGGAACAGAAAAATTATCTGAGAAAACAGAGAATGTTTCTCTTTCAAACAAACTGAACTGTAGAACTGAATCCTTATATCGTGGTTGGACATGTAACTATCACAAAAAGTCATTAGATTGTGACTCCACCCAATGGAAGAATACCAATAATGAATATTGGCTTTCTTTGGTAAAAGATAAAGGACAGCTGTGGTCCAGCAACCTTGAGTAGACAATATTATTTTGCAATTCCCTGTCTTTAGTCTCAAACCAGCACTACTATTTGAGAACTTAGAAGAGGTAGTAAGTTGATGTAAGGTGCAGAAGTAAATTTGCAACAAGCAACAGCTGGGACAGCAAAATGGTTATGGTATTCACAGAGATCTAGCAAAAGGAGCCCCATAGCATGACCAAGAGAAAAAAGACACAGGAACTGTAGACTTGAGGACATATCAAAAAGCGACCCATTCACAAGGGTGAGAAATAAAATCAGGAAGGAGAAAGATAAAACTAGACAATGTGTGGAACTGCTTGCTAGAGGAAAAGACCTTGCTGCAGGGATGGATGCTACCGGTTCTGCCCGGTTCTATACAACCAGTAGCTCTGAAGAGCAGCAGACACCAAACCAGTTCTGTATTTGCTGCTGTTTGGCCCACCCGGGCTCTTACGTGTCCTTTGTTTCCTGCTTTTTCAACCTCAGCTGCTTTGCGCAGCACAGTTGAGGTTGAAACAGCAGGGGAAAAGTGGCTTTTCAAATGCTGCACACCTGCATGCAGCACTTTTCAGCTGTCCAGGGGGGACAGCTTAAGCCTATTTTATATGGGCGCACAGCAAAACATAGTCACTGAACCGGTAGTAACTCTGGTTGAATCCCACCCCTGCCTTGCTGACCTGAAGATGCCAGCATAAAACAAGCTTCAATTAAATGGATTCATTGATGAGATCAGGTTGTTCACAGATCTGCAGGGGATGCCTGTTCTTCTATGCTGGTGGAACAGTTGGGCCAGTGGGAAGCAAGCCACCACAGCACTGCCTAACTTAACACTGGATTTCCAGATGATCTTGACCCTGACATGCTTAATGTCTTCCAAGTGTGCTAAAACAGAATTGGTTTAGACTGGCCAGTTTTTCTCTAAATTGCCCTCAGACGTATTTCCTATAATCAATCATGTCTACAGCTTTCTATACATTGCCCCAGAGATTCAGATAGCTCTGATCCTTTTACCTTTTTGTAAGTCTTTGAAGACCTGGCTGTGTCCTCAGAAGTGTAAGCTTGGTTGTTAATGTCATCTTAGGGACTGATTTACCTCATGGGATGTTGCTTTTAATTTTTTTTTTTTCATCTTTGTTTGCTACCCAGAGTCAGTATTGTGAGAAGGGCGGCCAAATTGTGTGTGGGTGTCAATAGGAGTACAAAGCAATAGCATTCCAGCCACCCTGACGTACTTCTCAGAATGAATAATTGCAAAATCACAAAAAGCAATATCATTGTTCTTCATTTTAGGCTCAGCTTCTCCCACCATTCACCCTAATCTTGACATTCTGAGGGTGAAGAAAGGAGACTCCATCCAATTACTTTGCTTGGGGAAATTGCCTGTTGAGTGGATCGGTATCCAGAATGGGTCCACCATGATGGTGTATGACAATGGCACCCTCTACGTGCCTGAGGCTAGTTGCAACCAAATGGGAAGCTACCAGTGTGCTTATATCAACAAATCAGAAGAGGGGATTAGAACTATATATGTGGCTGTAACAGGTAACCAGATTTCTCTTTATTATCTCTCTCATATGCTCTGAAAATAAATCATTGCATATGCTAAATAAACACTGTCTGGGAATTGTGTTCCCCATACGTCCACTATCAACTGTCAGTGTTTTTACAGGGGATCAAGGGTTTATAGAGGGTGAAGTGTGAAGCCTACTGTGGATATGTTAGGGTCTTGCTCCATCAGGCAGCAAAGACACTTGGTGGAAGATGGAAAACCTAGGCCAGCTGGATTAGAAACTGACCCCTTTTTTGAATAATTTTATCAGCAAGGCTTAACTATACAAATATTTTTTTCATATATGAAACAAAGCAATCATGGGAAATCCCTGCTGCAAATTTGTCCAGTTCCACCATGGGAAATTAGTTGATCTGAATGACTCATAGAATGGAGTCCTTTTGAGCAAAAGAGGTAGTTGTTAATTCAGATGCCTACAATCACAGAACATTATCAACCTTGACTGTTGGCCAGAATGTGTCCCAAGGAGAACATGCTTACAATTTGGGGGCCCTTTTCTTTTCACAACTGGAAGATCTGAAGAATGAGGTTGCCAAGTAAATTGTCCTAGGGAAAATCTATTGGTGTGGGGGTTTTTTAAGAGCCCAAACTGTGGCATAAATGACTCTGGATTAACATCTCCTGCTTTATGAGAAAATGGTGGCCATGGCCAAGAAATTTGCCCTTCAAGACTACACAGAGACTTTAGCTGCTGCAAAAAGCATCACTGCTGAATTACACTAGCTATTACCTGTTACCTAAGCATGATTGACGATGCTAGTTATCACATATAAAGCCCTGTAAGTCTTGGAGCCTTGGACCAATTTAAGGCCTGTCCTTTCAATGAGAGAGACCGAAACCTGCTGAAGATCCCTTCCTACCATGAAGCACAATGAGAGGTAAATCTTCTCCTGAGACAAGACTGACTTTACCAAATATTAGTGGAGTAATCACACCAATCTACTTGATATTGATTGGCTATTGCATGCGTTATGTTATTAATGTTAAAAATGAAGGCAAATATATCTGCCCCAAGATATTTTTGCAGGATTCAGTCTTGTCACCAGAATGTGAGACAGAACCTCCCTGTGGATGGGATGAGTCTGAAAGCTCAGTAGTGTAAACCTCTGTTCCTGGTGACCGACCCCAGATTGGATCCTGTTATTACTTCTATTATAATTAATATCTGTATGTTGTCTGGGTTGAGGCAAAGGATATATCTCATAAACAAAACAAATACACCACAAATACAACAGAGGCCTTGACTGAGAGAGAATACCTGAGAATATGTCAAAGATTTTGCTCTCACCACGTCAGCACCAGACAATCTTATTTCAGATTAATTCCAGCTATTTTTCTATTGTGCCAAGCTACCATATAGATTCATAACATATTTCTTCTACAGATCCTGAGTCTGTGTGGTGTGGCCTTCACAATGTTTATCCTAGTGTGGAAAAGGGCAGCGATGCCTTGATTCCGTGCCTGATTGCTGACCCAAGATTCACAGGCAACATGACCCTCCTTAAAGATTCCTCTCCAGTTCACTCAAGAGTCTCATTCAGTCCTAAGGAAGGAATACGGATTCATAATGTAGACCTGAGTGATAAAGATTCCTATGAGTGTAAAGCCCAGGTTCATGGAGAATGGGTGATTTCACCCAGAATTACTCTTTCTGTCTATGGTAGGTTGGAACTGCTCTTTTGTCACTACTTGAACATGTGCTTCCAAGCCTTTGGGGGACAGTTGTTGTAGCAGCATTTAGAAAAAGTGCTCCAGTGCATGTGGTTCATTTTTTTTTCCAACATGGAGAGGTTGGTTCCAAATTCTATATATTCATTGTGCTGTGCAATGCTAGACCAATTTTAATCAACAAAGAACAATTATACATTTTGGCAGGACAATGAATAGCTGCTTTGGTACATTAGTTGTTCTTTACTGTCACTGCCAAAGTGGCTTGAAATATGTTAAAGTAAAATGGCAAACACCCTCCATGTTATCTTTTCAATCCATTGGGTCAAAACTGCTGAAAAAGATGCGTGAAAGATTTGGAAAATACACCATCATTAAGCAGAAAATAGGAAAGGTATAACTTAAGAAAAGATGAGGGTGTTGGGGTTTTACTGACAAGCCCTCCAGCTCAGTTTGTATTTAACAGACTTTTCTGGCTTTTCTTAGACAATCACCAGCCTTTGATGGTTACTATTGGAGGACTAGCAAACCATGTGCGGTTACAAGGAGAACCATTCAGCATTTCCTGCAGAGTACAATATTACTCCTTTGAATATAATGGCACATGGATCTATCCCCTGACTGCAAACGTAAGCCATTTCTACAGGTTTTAGACATGCACTTTAGCTTCTGTTGTTTGTTGACTCGTGGTAACTGTTCTATTTCTACCGTTACAAGATGAGAGAAAAAGGATAGCAGATAATTATCTTTTTACTGTTCTGTATTCTGTACAGTGGTAGATTTGTCTTCTGTACAGTGGTAGATTTGTCTTCTGTACAGATGCAGATAGATAAACTCCACAAAACATCCATAACAAAGTACTTTTATTGGTTCATCAGGAATCCTCATAACTCACATTTGTGATGAAGTCCATCTTTAATGACCAATCCTTTACATATTTGTCTTGTAAGTAAAAAGATGATTATCTGCTATCCTTTTTCTCTCATCTCATAGCGGTAGAAATAGAACAGTTACCATGAGTCCATGAGTTCAGCCAAGAATGAGGAAAACTCCCCCAACCCATCGAGGGTCAATTTAGTGACCAATCAGGATTACAGATGTGGTCACGTGATATGGACTACATTTCCCAGGATACCTTAACTTCATTTACCATGATGCATTCCCTTAAGGGGACAGTTCACAATCGCTATCTAACTATCCAATTCCCATACACTGGCTGGATAGCACATTTGTCTTGAATGAGCTCAGAGTTACTTGTGGCTTGTATAAACCAATTCATGCAAGGACTTAGACCTGTCTTCCGGAGTTATTAACAGATAATCAGAGTTGGAAGGGACATTGTAGATCATCTAGTCCAACCCCCTGCCCAAGCAGGAGACCCTGCACCATTTCTATTGAACAACAATGCCTACCATCCCTAGCCAGAAAGACGTCATGAGCATCTAATGATATAATATGTGCTGCGATGTCACAATGAAAATTCTGCTCTTTTGATATTTGGATGCAACTTTGTGACACACAACTAAAAAATAGCAGTGTTTGCAAAATGACACCTGTGTCATCATTTTGACATCATCATGCCTCGGTTGTGAGGCTAATATCAGGCTGGGATGTTGGAAATTGTAGTCCTGAGACAATTCAAATTGAAGAAAGCTGCTTCAACTGCACATTGCACATTAACTTTGCACTTCTCAAGGTTGTTTGCTTTTGCATCCAGTTTGTCTTAACTGCTTCATTATAAGATTCTCTTGAAACTGCCTTGCAAACACAAACTTCAGTCATTTCTTATAAGAATAAGAGGCAGAAGCAAACAAAGGATATTTATTTATTAAATGGATGTACTCTGAATCTTATGTCTTTCTTTTCACCTACTTTAATTGCCTACTAAAGTGCTTTTATACTTAGGTATACTTTTATATTTAAATAATACAGATGGGAAACCATTGTCCTCATGGCTTATTATTTAAGAACTAGCATAATCTTAAATATATATAAATCATGAAATAGGATTAAAAAAATAGAAGTGGAGGACCAGTGGCTTCAAGGAAAAGCCCTGAAATCTGGTAAAGGTTTAATTGGAGATGATGGCAATGAGCATTAGAGCTCATATTTTCAAATCAGCCCAGTAATATCTGTCTTTTCTTACCACAGGCCATCTGGAATACAACGGATTTAGATACTGGATTATCTCAGTCATACGCCACTGATTACTTCCTATTCATTTCAGCAGTTCAGTTACAAGACAGTGGAATATATACTTGTCATGCGGAAGCTGCCCAATCACATGTAAATGTTTCAGCTACTCTCCAAGTGCTAGGTAGGTGACAACACAGGGAAAACCTCCTCACCCATCAATAAAAATAGATCCTGTGTATCCAAAACACCCCACCCCGTTTACAAATAATGTTGTCTTCTTTCACTTTCTATTGGATTTTTACATTGTGGTAGCCGATCAGAAGGCTTTTATGAATACAAATATGGAATGTTAGTTAAATCAATCAGAAACTAACAGTGCATGAGAACAATTCCAAAGGTGGTCTAACAGTTAGTATTCTAGTGTCTCAGTAAAGAAGATACATGATAAAGATAGAAATTCTTAATATTTTCTAGAATACAAGTGTGTTATGTAAGTATGTTTCTTTATGCTTCAAGAAAAGTATACAACTATAAAACACCGAAACTCAGTTACTTCTCATTGATTAATATGACTACTACAAAGTTTTCAAATGAAATATAGCATTGCTTTCTACTCTTTAAAAATTCATCAAGATAAGAATAAAATTTATAATTCTTGCAGAATCAGGGACATGGAAGGCAAGATACTTCCTCTTCCCACGTTCCATATTTCTATTCATATCTCTCCACCATTTTCAATGGCAAGGTTTCTGGGGTAATTCAGCTATCTTGCTCCTATCGAATCTTGTCCATAAAATCCATTTAGTGCTTAAGTACAACATGACTAACTTTTCTGCTTTCCGAATATACCTAAGAGAAGTCAAAAGCTTAAAAGCTCCTAAAGAAGAACTGAATTACCGCAGAAATATGAAGTTTACATTCTGTCCTAGCCTTTCCTGAGTTCATGTTTGTTTCTTTTGTAAGCCCATCAATAGGAACTGTCTGTCTATTGGATTTTGTGGGCCATCTAATAAAACCTCTTTGGGGTTAAAGATCAGATCAGAACTCTTTAAATCACCTTTCCCTGCATACCTTCCAGTTGGGGTTGCGTGAGTTGTTTTTCAATGTATTTCAAGGCTGCCAGGACAGAGATAGGGAGTTGAATGAAGTCTTGCCTGTGGGATTTTTAAATTCTGCATACAAAAGTCACTATTTGCTGTGGCAGATAATGAATCATGGGCATGCAATAGTGCAACATGTAGCATCATGGCTTCTCCTTGTGAATGTTGCAAGAATTACTTGGAATTTGATGTTCTGTCCATGCCCTTACAAATATTGAACCTCATTGGACAGTTTTCATAAACCATGGATTCTTGGGCTTCTTCATACAATGTGTCACATTCCTAAAAATCATTTCTGTGATTCCCTGTAATCCAAACCCAATACATTCTAGTCATTCGTCCCTTCCACAGTCCAAACAGGCTCTTTGATAATTTCTGAGGAGTTGAAATGAAGAAAGTACTTTATTTTAGCTTTGGAATGCTGCTGTTTTGTTGCAGGACTCCTCAGTCATTATCATCATTATAGCTTCTACAATGAGGAACTCTACTAAGAGCCGAGTTGTTTTCCTCAAGGAGAAAATCTTTTTCCCTTTACTTCCCTATGGATTAATTTTGTGCTTTGCTTTTCAGAGAAAGGGTATCTGCGCTTGTCCACGTTACAGAACAAAATTCAGGAGACAAACTTGCATCTGAAGCTAAATCTTCAGGTGCTTATTGATGCTTATCCTAGACCTTCAACATATAGATGGATACATGTGAACCCATCAAGAACGTCCAAAGGAACTGGCCACATGATTTTTGGTCAACAAAGGTAAAGGCTATGTAGTGTCTCCCCTTCCTTCAGAGTTTTTTGGGGGGTGGTTTTTCAAATTACAGGTTTGTTTACAGTCCTAACTTTCAGGGAGAGAAAGACTGTCCGATGTGGTTGCCTCACATAACTGCAGCAAATGCAGAGTGCATTTTATTGAGTCTTTCTCTAAGAAGATCAGAGATAAGTGTTAGTCACACCAGAGCCTTTTAGAATAGAACGGGATAAAATGTAGGAATTTGCATATACAGCAACCCAAGGAATTTATCTGATTGAACTAAGAAGAATTTGAACCTGGACTTCCCCATACATGTATGACTTTATGAAAAAATCTGAGGCATCTAAAACTCACTGGGTCTGTCTATCTTCAAAGTTCGTGTGATTTGCTGTTTAAAGTTGGATCTCTAATTCATGAACTGGGATGAGAAGATCACAATAATACATGAAATTACCGCTGCTTAGGTGATGCTTCAAGGATCAGTTTTGTCTTCTTTGCTTTTTTGCATCTATGTTGAGCCCTGGGACCTTAATGGTTCTATTTGCACAACTCAGTTGTGCATCACTTGTCCCAGCCACGAGAAGATGCTATCAAATTCCTTTGTCGGTGCTGGGAAGTTGTTGGGATCTGGATTGGAGAGAATAAACTGAAGCTCAGTCCTCACATATCAGCATCCTGTGTCACCACCAGAAGTATTCCTTGATGCTCAAACATTACCCAACAGGAAGCAGGTTTGCAAATTGGGGGTCATTCTTAACTCAAGGCTCTTGTTGAATAAGTAAATGGAAACTATCCCTAGAGGGAGCTATGCCCAACTCTGGTTAGATAAGCATCAATGTGCTTATCTTACCTGGAGCAGGAGGACTTAGCTCCTCATGCCATCTAGTTGGACTAATGAAAGTCACTTAATAGAAAACTGCCCTTGAAGTGTATTTAGAAACTACAGCTAGTTCAAAATGCAGTGGCCTGCATTTCACAGTTTCAGCTTCAACATTGGGAGCACATAACACCAGTTTTGCAATCCCTGCATTGTTTGCCATTTGTTTTCTTGTCTAACTGAAAGTACTGGTTTTGAACTGCAAATGCTATTCATGGTTTGCAGATACTCCCAGGATTTGCTTGTCCACCCAGTTTTGATTCTAACAATTATTTCCATGCATATCTGTTCTCTCTTTTAGCAGACACAACAATACACTCGAGCTGAATTGGATGGAGGAAAAACACAGTGGTGAATATATATTTTTTGCAGACAATGGGGAAGCCAATGCATCTATTCATTTTTACGTCTCTGTGAAAAGTATGTTTTGTACTACTCATTCTTTGTAATAACATGTGGGGAATGGGAATGATCTTGGGGGACAGAGATGCAGCCAAGGGGATGGATAGATTAATGGTGAGATAAAAGAGAAAGAGGCAGGAATGTGGATAGGGCAAATGGCTCAGAAGGGAGTTTCTTGGGCTGTAAAGGAGATGGGGAAAGGGGGGTGAGATTCTGTTAACATACAGTAAGTAGCCTTACAAATAGCATAGAATTGGCTCATGTAACCATGCTTTCCATATGGAGTTTATGAAAAGGCTGATATTTTTCAAGCCAGAGTGCTTGATGTTAGTTGTGAAGTCGTGTCTGGTCCAACACAACCACATGGACAATGTTTCTCCAGGCCTTCCTGCCTTCTATCATTTTCTGGAGTCCATTTAAGCTCACACCAACTGCTTCAGTGACTCCATCCAGCCACCTCATTCTCTGTCATCCCCTTCTCCTATTGCCCTCAATCTTTCCCAGCATTAGGCTCTTCTCCAGTGAGTCCTTCCTTCTCATTAGGTGGCCGAAGTATTTGAGTTTCATCTTCAGGATCTGGCCTTCTAAAGAGCAGTCAGGGTTGATCTCCTCTAGGACTGACCAGTTTGATCGCCTTGCAGACCCAGAGTGCTAGAAAACTCAAAAGCCACATCAAAATCTTTCTAAGGGAAATCCAATTGCCCTTAAAACCAAATATAATTTCAACTATATCTGATCTCAGTGTAGGTAAGCAAAAAGAAATTATCTTCTTTTTTGTGGCAAAGCAAACACCCCAGGTATACTTCCCCCCCCAAAAAAAAATCTGTATTTTATCACTGTTAATATGGTCCTAGAAGTAATCCTGAATTCTTATCAGAAGTAGCCTTTCCTAGTCATGATTGAATCAATTCATTCAGATGGAAAAAAATAATTTGACTTTATGCCCTGTATAGAAAAAGTGATTGGAAGCTAAATTGCAAAGAGTATGCTATTAATCTGATTTGCTGCAAGTTCTGTTCTTTAGTGTGCCACCATTTTAATTTTGCTAATGAGATTTGAAATAAAGAAAATATGCTGCCCTCTGCTGTCTTTAATGGTTCCTTTGTATTTGCTTTGTAGCTAAACCAAAAGTTACAATGTTGACCAACATTTCCAATGGTCTCCAATGTGAAGTAACTGGCTATCCTCCTCCACATATTCAGTGGTACAAATTGCACCCCCATGTTGATAGGTGAGTTAACAGAATCACAGCACAAGCCAGTGCATTTCTACTCAAACATGCCTGCTAAGACTTAGGGATGTAATGGCACTGCAGCTGTCATATACCACCATTTTCATTATGGAACTGATATATCTCAATTCTCAATATGCTGACTCTGTTAATCACTTAGAAAGGGCTGCAAAGCCCCGTGAAACAGTTGATATGTCTTAGCACTATTGCTATTGTTATTTTTTATATAACTATAATGAAGGAAACCCACTGGGCTGATTTGTTTGTTTATGTTTTGGTTTCTTTTCAAATGCAAATTCCTACTATGTAATCTCTGGAGTAGTTAATTTACATTAAGATGATAGTATGGTTGAGGAAATCAATAAAAGACAAAAGGGTATAGGGGGAAAAGTGGAGTTTATGAAGCTGATTGCCATAAGAAACTCTTGCTAATTTGCAGATTGTCCTTATTTGTGAATGATTCTCATCCATTTGTTGTTTCTTTTGGAGTGTTACCTTCATTGCACAATTTTGGATGGTTGCTGCTAATTCAAACGATCTAAAAAGATAAAGGCCAAATGACAGTGAGATCAGGAATGGTAGTGCCTAACCCATGTGTTAGACCAGGGCAGAGCTGGTATTCAGCAGGTTCTGACCAATTCTGGAGAATCGGTAGTGGAAATTTTGAGTAGTTCAGAGAACCGGTAATGGAAATTTTGAGTAGTTCAGAATACCACCTCTGACTGGCCCTGCCCCCATCTATTCTCTGCCTCCCAAGTCCCAGTTGATCAGCTAGGTCTTCTTTTGTTTCCCTGCACAGGAGAACAGAGCTGGAAAGCAAGTTAGTGTGATGGGGAGAGAACGGGAATTTTACTGTATCCTCCCCCTGGAATGGGGTGGGAATGGAGATTTTACAGTATCCTTTCCCTGCCAAACCCACCAAGCCAGGCCCACCAAGCCACACCACGCCCACCAAGCCACACCCACAGAACCAGTAGTAAAAAAAATTTAATCCCACCACCGGACCAGGGGTTCCCAACCAGTACTGCTCTGGCCCTGTTAGGAACCAGGTAGCACAAGCAAGCAAAGTGTCATTTGTGCATATGCAGCATGCTAGATAGTGCACAAAATCACTTCCTCCCACCTGCCAGGTCCATGGAAAATTTTCTTTTCCATAGAACCAGTCCTTACTGCCCAAAAGTTTGGGGACCACTGTATTGGGCAGTATCTCTTTGACGAATTAGCTATTTCCCCTGTTGTTCTCATCATTTGGATGAGGATAAGAAAAACCTCTGATACCTCAATCCTTAGAAATTCCAGCAAATAAAATTCTCATCCACCTGTCCTAATAATATCTCTGACATTTTTGTTTGTCCATCAGGTGCGGTCAACACGGGGCCCTGGTTTTTAATGACTCCAGTCCAAAGATCATGAGTCAAATTCCCTTTGGAAGTGTGTCATTGAAGAGTGTCTTTAAAGGGAAGATGAAGGACAGTGAGCACGTTTGCTGTTTTGCAGTTAATAGTGCTGGAAATGACTCCAGTTTCATTACATTTTCTGTTTCTGAGGTTACTGGTAAGATCAATCTCCGTATTCATTTGATTAAAACAAATAGTTTTCCTGAATCATTTCAGTCATTTCTCAAAATACTCTGTGTGATTTCACCACCTTTTTTTTAATCTATGATTTTTCCATTCACATAAAGCGAACATTTACTATAATTTGGGGGGGTGGGGGCTGAGAAAATTAAACAAGAACAGTAGAGCTATTTGAAAATTCAAATGGACAAAAAATAAAGGAAAGGGGAAAAAATCCAAAAAGGAATGGATTTCCACTTGAAACTTACACATTTTAATTCCTTTTATTTTATTTTGTTTTTGTTTTTTCGTAACTTACATGAAAAAAAACAATTGCAGGTTTTTAGCAATAAATGCACATTTTCCATCTCTAATTTCTACTCTCTAAGCTAGTTTTTCATCTTTTTGTAAAGAACTATATTTTCAAAACTTGGGGGAAAGAGCTTCATGATGGATGACTATTTAATTTTGCCTTCTCCAACTGTTTTGGAAAATACATCTCTACTATCTTATTCTGTTGCACCAAAAGGAGTAGAAAAATCAATGTTTTTCTTTTCTTTTTTCCCTTGTCCTACGCTTTTCTCTCTTTTCTTTATCTCCCTGTTTTCCCATTATTTTCATTTTTCTATATTTTATATTTTGAAAAGCTAATAAAAATACTATAAAAAAGGAAAATACATCTCATCATCCCCATCTGTGAATTATTGTCCAAAATACCTGGATACATTTTCAGCATGAATTAACTCAATGCCATTCATAAAGGTATGCCATTCATAAAGGCACAAAGACAGGTATGACAAATTTTAAAAAGTAGTTTGATTCCTACATCATGCCAAATGATTGTTTGTTCAATTAACCACAATAGTCTTGGTTGGCATAACATGCTGTGCCAGAAACCAAATGCCTCACAGCTGAGTTTACTTTGCAAACTCAGCAATATTGCAGACAGAGAAAAACAGTCAGGTTCTGATTATATTTACCATAGTTTGACAAAACTGACTATAGAACCTTCTTCCTTTGGTCTCAAGGATGTTGGAACTCTCTGCCACTGTTCTCTTCCTTCTGCATTTTGTTTTTCCAGGAAAGGAGAACAAGATCTCCAAACTACTTTATGCAGTCTTTGGAGGCACAATGGGTTTTCTTCTTCTATGTATCATCATCTTGGTCTATAAATATAAACAGGTAATTTTTTAAAAATTTATGAATGGAAGGAAAAATAATCAAAAATTTGTCCAAGATACCAAAGAAGATCTGAAACTCAAGTGACTTGGTGTCAATTGGAATAAGAACCAATTCCTCAGAAAAGATTTTAATTGTATTTGTTTTAATGTATGAAGTGATATTACTTTATTAACAATTACATTGTTGAACAGATATTGTGAACGCATGTTCTAGTTTTAGTTACCCAGGGGTAAGATTGATGCCAATCAGTTTGATAAATAAGTAATTTACAGAATAATAACTTAGTTTTCACAAAATACATATGTCTTTTTATCCCCCCAATATAAATTATCTCTTGTTTTTTCTTTTCCTCCCTTTTTTCCTTTTATGGGTATCTTTCTCAGTTCTTATCCTATGTCTTAAATTACTGCTTCTCCTTTTTTAATAAGGAAATGCTCTATTAATTCTTTATTCACATTTCAATGCAACAATGTCATTTTATTAGATTATCATAATAGGATCAGGCTGTATAAGCACAATACCAAAATTCTGTGAAACATATGATTCCTAAATAATTTCTCTTCTCAGAAACCAAAATATCAAGTCCACTGGAAGATTATTGAAGCCTGTGAAGGAAACAATTACATCTTTATTGACCCTACCCAGCTTCCTTACAATGAGAAATGGGAATTTCCTAGAAGCAACCTGCAATTTGGTGAGGAGCACCTCTAAATTTTATCTCTAATCAAAAAGCTCATTTGGCTCTACTAGTAGATTAAATACTGAAAATATGCAACAGTATGAAAATATCTAATTGTTGAATAGGATTGTGGCATTATTCTTGTTGAAAATGTTGAGGTTTTATAAAAACAGAAAAATATTGAGGTTTTATAGAAGCAGAAAAATGATGCCAGATAAAAATTAACTTTTGAATCCAAGAGTAAATAAATTCTGGAATATGCAGTTTATAGATCATTGAAATGTTGTTGTTATTGTTGTTGTTATTGTTTTTAAACCTGCTGAGATTGAATAACCAAAGCGAGGCATAATGGAAAAATAGAAAAGGCTTTTGAAAATCTCACCCTGGCCATATTGACTTATTCACTATTAAGAGGCTCTGCTAAAAATGTTTTTAATTGGGGTAACTGCCAGAATCCTGACAATCATGTTTTTAAGCATATATTCTCACCCACACCTAGAGAGAATTGAAGTCCAAATTTATTATGTATTTATTAAACTTGTGTTCCAACCATTTCATCTAGAAGCAACTCTGTAAGGCTTACAAACATCAAAACCACTAAACGTTAAAAGGGCTAAAACAATAAATAACAACAATAATAATGTGTCATTAAAAGATGAGGAGGAAAAGGAAACACAACAGGAGAGAGAGCTGAGGTCTTCTAATCTAATAGTCACCTCCAGAGTAATATCACCTTGTTGGGGCTACAGGACAACTGGCAAAGCCAAATCTTTAGCCCCTTATGGAGGGTCAGGAGGATGGCTCTGGATCTTACCTCAGGGATATGGGGGGTAAGATGTTCCAAAGGTCAGGAACCATGGCGGAAAAGGCTATTCTGTTAGACCCTGCCTGCTGAAATTCCTTGCTGGATGAAGTTTGCAGCATGTCACTTCTGCTGGCATGAGTGGAGCAGGCCAATCCCAGTCGGGTGATATAGGACTGTTCAGATAGCCTGAATCAATGCTTTAAAAGTGATAAGCAATACCTTGAATTGCACCTGGAAGCAAACCAGGAGCCAGTGCAGTTTGTCGAACAGCAGTGTAACGTGGGCCAACTTAGGCGCCCCAAGAATTGGCCATGCCACTGCCTTCTGCAACAGTTGTGGCTTTCCAATACTCTTCAAGGGCAGCCCCATGTACAGTGCATTTGCAATAGTCTAATTACTTCAGTTTACATCTGAATGACTACAAAATAAAGGGCTTTTTTTCAATCACTTATTGAAAGTGCCGAAGGAAACATTCTGCTTCTTGGAGATGCGATTTTTTCTTTCTTTCTATAAACATGGACAAATCTGTTTTTATCTCAAAGTATTTTTGTTCATTTGAAATTGTATCTGATCTTAGGGCTATAATAAATTTTGAAATCATTTGAAATGGTTTTTCATGCTTACAAGTTGGCAGAAGATGAATTGTGGCTCCAACTTCTTTTACATGGATGCAGAGTATTTTTAAAAAACATAAGAAGCCAAGATCATGAATATTTATGACAGAAATGTACTTATATAAGGAGACAGGAAAAGGCTGCCTCCTTTCTCCTTCCTTGTTTTGATTGGCATTAGAGTCTCTAGCAAATAATGTATGCCAAGAAAAGAAAAAAGACCTGGAATTAAATTAGAAACTCAGAAACTAAAATAATGTACTATTGATGTTGTACTTCAAATTGGTCAGCCAAATGTCCTATGATAAAACTGATAGAATACATGTAGCAATATGTTTCAGTATGCACATCAATGCATGTTATTAAAATTAATTTTAATAAAAGAAATGACAGTATTTCTTTCACAGGAAAAGTCCTTGGAGCTGGAGCTTTTGGGAAGGTGATTGAAGCCACAGCTTTTGGGCTGGGAAAGGAGGATTCTGTTTTGAAGGTGGCAGTGAAAATGCTGAAATGTAAGTACTAGATCAGACCAGCTCCTATGAACCAAAGAGGTTTTTTTTTCTTTTCTTTTTCTTTGGCCCTACTGATTTCATTTTTTTTTTGTCATATTTACAAATATTCCCCCCCCCAAGTTTTATCTGTATTCCCTTTAGCACTACCCAGTTCAATCCTTTATTTATGTTTACTTGTATACTTATTATGAGTTTTCACATGTTAAAATGGGGACCCGCAACCCCCGGTTCACAGACTGGCACCAGCCCATAGCATGCCAGAAACTGAGCCTTGCAAACAAACGAAGACCCATCTTTGGGATGCAAGTAACACATTAAACTATGCCCCCCTCTGGTCCGTGGGAAAACCTCTGCCCACAGAACAGATTGCTGGTGCCCTAAAGGTTGGAGGCTGTGTTAAATCAAAAGAAAAAAAGAAAAAGAAAAATACATGAAAAAAAGAAAAGTGCACTAAAGTTTCCTTATTCTTTTTTCATGCACTTCTCATTTTTTTTCTTTTGATTTGTCTTTTAACATATGAGTGTTAAAGTTTCCTTTTTTCCTAAATGACTTTGACCTCCTTTTCAACAGATGATTACACTCTTATTGCCTTAAATATTTTACAACTCCCCCCTTTTTAGAATAAAATAGAATAGAATAGAATAGAATAGAATAGAATAGAATAGAATAGAATAGAATAGAATCTGAAAGGGACCTTGGAGGTCTTCTAGTCCAGCTCCCCGATTAAGTAGGAAAACTTATACTATTTCAGATAAGTGGCTGTCTAGTCTCTTCTTAAAAACCTCCAGTGATGGACCACCCATGATTTTGGAAGGCAAGTTAATTGTCTTGTTAATTGTCCTCACTATTGGAAGTTTCTCCTTAATTTCGGGTTGCTTCTCTCTTTGGTTAGTTTCCAACCATAGGTTTTTTGTCCTGCCCTTTGGTGCTTTGTAAAAATATTTGATCCCCTCTTCTTTGTGGCAGACCCTCAAATCCCAGAATACTGCTATCATGTCACCCCTAATTCTTCTTTTTTTAGACTAGCCAAACCCAAATCCTGTAGCTGTTTTTCATATGTTTTAGTCTCCAGGCCTTTGATCATCTTAGTTGCTCTTCTCTGAACTTTTTCCAAAGTCTCAACATCTTTTTTGCAGTATGGTGACCAAAACTGGTTGCAGTATTCCAAATGTGGTCTTTACTAGGATTTTATAAAGTGGCACTAATACTTTATGTGATCTTGATCCCATGCCTCTGTTTATACCTACTAGAATTGTATTAGATTTTTTGGTGACAGCTGACAGATGGCACCTTTAAATCTGCAATTTGCTCTTGCATGGTTCCCACCAGAACCTGCGCACACAGATTGCCCTGCATCCATTTTCGTTGTTTTTTTTTTTTGTTAACCTTGAGTCTGCGGACATCTTCCTCATCATCTCTTGACTCTTCCAGCTCAGTGTGATCTTACCAGGCTGCGCTGTTGCGGCGCGTGTTGTTTGAGCTTTTTTTTTTTTTAATTACCACCATTGTTTTGATTGACGTCTCAGTGTCTTGGGCTTCCTCTACCCATTTTCAGAGTGAGATTGGGTTTCCCGAATAGTCACCATTGTAGTTGTAAATCTTTCACCCCACAAACGAATCTGTCCAATAATATGTCTTCGAGGTCCCTAAATTCACAGCACATAGCAGCTTTTTGCAGGGCTGTGATATAGTCATTTATTGATTCAGTGTCATTTTGATTCCGGTGGTGAAATTCATGTCATCTGACGATCTTCAAGGTTGTGAGTGCATAGTGAGTCCTGAGTGCATTTGGGATTGTATCCCACGTCACCATCTGCACAGCTGTGGGAGCAACCAGAGTTTTGGCCATGTCAAAAATTTCTGAGCCACAGTAACTCAAGAACAGGACTTTCTTTCTATTGTCCGAGAGTGCTTCAGCTCATTGGCTTCCAGGAAATTGGCTTCCTCAAATTGGATTAGATAAGAGTTCCAATGTTTGACAGCTGGGTTGAACAGTATTGGTGGAGCGTGCGTGGCCATCTTGCCAATATGCAAAGGCTATTTTTGTTTTGAGAATCATTTCGGTTGCTCCGCTATTCCTCTGTATTTCGATCAGCTTTTTTTGTGTCTTCTTTCTAAGATCCCACCTTTATCGCCAGTGTTGTATTGTGGGTTAAAAGAAGACTCGGATCCAGGATAACAAAAGCAACTTCTTAATTCAAGTAACAACAACAACCAGCAAAAGTTCCGTCTGACAGTTCTCCTTTTATAGGAGCTATCTAACAGGCCAACCAATCAGCTTTTAGTATTTTCCCGCCTAATGGCGGACCAGAGGGAAAACTATCCTTCTAACAGAACACATTTTTGTTGTTTGTTCTCTGCATGGGTAGATCAGTCTTGCTATTTCTGCAAGTTCTGAAATTTTCACAATCTATTTCTCCATCGTGGGAATCTCATTTTTCATCCATTGTTTGGCCCACCCACTTCAGTGACTCAGAGAGAGCCACAGAAGAGTATTTGGGAAGTATGCATCCCTGATGTAATGTATGTGGATGCCCACAGTCACTCTTTCCCAACCATTACTGTTGCAGAAGTGGGCTTCTACACTGGCTAAGGTTTGAACTAGCTCCATTCTAACTGAATGATTGAAAAAATAACCTGGTGTTTTTCCATCATCTGGTGTTTTCATTTCAGGTGTCATGTTTATTTCCTATATCCTGCTCCCATATTTGACTTCAAATTAATTGTTCTCATGTTGGATTTCAGCAACTGCACATACAGATGAGAAAGAAGCTCTTATGTCTGAGCTGAAAATCATGAGCCATTTGGGTCACCATGAAAATATTGTCAATCTTCTAGGAGCATGTACCCATGGAGGTAATTAGTCTTCTCATCATTTCCTTTCTGATTCACAGAAATATTGTTTCCTTTCTTTTCTATCATTGGTTGAATCATAGGTTTCCAAATGAAGATGATAATCACTACCTGAATAAATATTTGTTTGAAAATATCAAATCTCCATCAAACTATGCCACCAATGGTTTAATTCCAGAACTTAAAACATATAGCAGAGCGGAAATTGAGCTCAGCTTAAGAGATCCTTTATTTTAATATCCTCCTTCAGAGCTGTCTGAATTGAATGAATAAGACAGATTAAAAAATAATTCCACCTTCACATCTTGAAGTTGCTATGGTAGAGAACAGGGGTGGGATTCAAATTTCTTAATAACTGGTTCTGTGGGCATGGCCTAATTTGTGGGTGGCTTGGCGGTCATGTGACTGGGTGGGCGTGGCTTGCTGACTGGGTGTGGCTTGGGGGTCATGTGACTGGGGTGGGCATGGCTAGGTGGCCATGTGACTGGCAAACCAAATATAAGTGGTTCTCGCTTAATGGCCAGTTGCTTAGCAAATGTTCTAATTATGACTCACCTCCCCAGAACTACTTGATCTTTTTATGGTGTTTGACAGCAATGCACACACACATACACACACACACACACACACACACACATGCACACACACTTATGACCTGTTACAACATCCCACACACTCTTGTGACTGAGGTTTTTTGCCAGTTTCCAACAATTCCTTCTGGTTTCTGATTAAAAATGCCCATTGGGGAAAATTGACTTGTTTACCAACCAGTGTTTGCTTAATGACCACAAGGTTCATTTAATGACCATAGTCTGCAACCTTAAACACTCAAAGAGCCATTTTTCTATTTTCTTTTAAACAGGTATCTCTCTGTGTGTGTCTCTCTCTCTCATCTCTTTCCCTCTCTTTCATCTCCCTCTATTTTTCTGATTATGTGTGTGTAGCATGTCTATATGTGTGTTATGTATATGTATGGATATGTATACATATTTCACTATTAATGTGTGCCAATGTACTTACAGTAAAAAAATGACAATAAAAGTTGTCTTTTCCTATCTTTCTTCTTTCCTTCCCAACTCCATTCCTCCCCATACCCTATTTTGTGTTGGCTTCCCAGCCAAGTACTTACAAGTCTGATCCTGTTTAGCTTTCTAAAATCAGCCTACTGAAATAAATACCAAATTAAACTGCCCAATAATTTACCTACTATCACGATCTTGCACCTGATTTCAATGTAAACAGCCAATCTGCAGTATTACTAAATTTTGCTAGGCATCTGCTTCATGTTATTTTTCTCTTCCTTGATAATTTAGTCTTAGGTGGGAAAAACAGTCACTGGCGAGAGCAGCTCAGTGCAGAGAAAAGTCGTACTGCCCATATTTTTTTCTCCACAAGCAGCCTTCTTGTCTTCTCCTCCTCCTCATTTGTGAAGTTTAAAGGTGCTGCAAGAGGCTGCTCGCTGAGAGGGGAATATGGGGAGATGCATGACTTTTTTCCATGCCTTGAGGGCTGCTCTCTCTCTCTCTTGACTCCACTCTTGGCACAGAGAAAAGTCGGTGGGAGCAGCGGTTGAGGGCTGGTCACCCATCCTGGTGCTCACGCTCACCATACCTTTGCGGGGTAGGGGATGCATTGGCAGGGAGGCAGCAATGGCAATGGCCACAAGGAAGGCAATGGCGATTCCAGTGGCATCGGAACTTCCGGAACCAGCTCTCCCCGCCGGACATCCACGCAGCTGCACACATGGTGCATCAGAGTTTCCAGGCTCTGCTCCCCGCAACCACTGTCAGCTGTCCTGGACTTGATCAAGGGGTGACTTGCAGACATGAGCCTCTCCACCTGTTCCTTCCTGCTGCTCTTGATGGGAGAGCAAGGGAGTTTTTCCTGGCATAGTGAAATGCTTGCAAGTCCCCCTCCCATTGGAAACTGCTTCTGAGCAGCAGAGAGAAACAGGATTCAACCTGGCTGGTTCTCTGCTGCTCAGGAGCCTCTTCCAATGGGAAGGGGACTTGCAGCATTTCACTGTGCCGGGAAACTCTCTTGCTCTCCCAGCTAGAGGAGCAGGTGAGAGAAGCAGCTGCTAACCTGGCTGGAGCCTACACGAGCCTCTCCACATGTTCCCCATGGTGGAAGGCAAGTGATGGGGGAAAGGTGACCAGCAGTGGTGGCAAAAGGCAAGGGGAGGGGGCGGGAAGGCAACTGTCAGTGGCAGATAAGTGACCGGGGCTTGCAGAGCCTCACTCACCCAGGGAGATCAGTTCAGGCAGGGATGCAGTGGAAGGCAGGCAGCAATGGCGGGTGCACAAAAGCAGGCTGAAGGCAGCAGTGTCAGGCATGCGCACGATGTGCATGCGCAATAAGGACTGACTGGGCAGGTAGTGGAGAAGCAGCGGAGAGGGGCAGGGCCAGACAGAGGCCCGACTTACTGATTCTCCGAAGTGCAATGAATCATAATAACCAGCTCTACCAAACCGGTCCAAACCAGTGGAATCCCAACCTGGTTGAGAACTACTAGTCTAGTGGATCCTAGATAAACAGTAGAAATAGATGCCCCATAGGTCATTCTAACTTTGTGATTCTTTCAGTCGGTACCACTTCACTGATCAATGCTGCTATGTAGCAGAAAACCTATTGTACTTTCAAGTGATGTTTCTTTTCTGTTTTCTAGGACCTGTCCTTGTAATTACTGAATATTGTCCCTTTGGGGACTTGCTGAACTTCCTGAGAGAAAAAGCTGAGCATCTCATAATTGAGGGTTTAACCTTGGAATACACTTTTGATAGCATGATGGCTGATTACAAAAATATCTACCTTGGAAAAAAGTATGTCCAAAGAAGGTAATAAGTTAGTCCTTAGTGGCCTCCACTTATATGGGGTGTAAAAGTGCGTTAACAGTTTGTTGATACAGCTGGTGCTAAATGACAGCACATTTATTAAGTGTGCAAACAGTTGCCCAGAGTCACTTTGGAGAGTGACATCATGGATGGCATATACATTTAATTAATTATTAAAACAGTAAACAATTATTCTATTGCAATCTCCAGTAGGGACTCCAATTTCTAATTTAAGACAGATATGGGTAATCTGAAATTCTACACCCACATGTCAAACCCAAATCTCCTTTTTTTTTTTAGACACAGGAGATCATTCCAGCCATAACTGACAAAAATCACCTACGCAGTTCCCCAACATTTTAAGTCAAGAAAGACACAGAAATTCTAGCCTAAACTTGACTATGTATAATTCTGAAATATTCCTTTATTTACTCCAGGGAAGAGGGAGAAACTCCTGCTTGTCCCTGTGTGTGAACCAGGTCTATTCAGTTCTTCAGGAGACCTATTAGAATCAAACCGAAGCTTATTAACTATTGGTGGGACAGATATGCTCTTAAAACTGATAGAAACTATTAATTATTTTTTTCCTCTTTTGATTTCTTTCATTCAGTGATAGTGGATTTGGATGCCAAAGTGTTGACAGTTATTTGGAAATGAAATCGGTCATAGCATCAATGCCTACGCCAGCACAAGGTAATACTCAAAGATCACGGCCAAGAGAAATGGAAAGATACACCAAAAAGGGATATATCTGTTCTAGAAATTTAGCAACATTAGTAATCTTTTGACTAAATTGCTGTTTGCTTATTTCTATGCATTTCTCTCATTGGAGAAAGTGCAACCTGGCCTTCTTATCTTCATAATGGTTATGTTAGGTAGGCTTAACTGGCTGAGAGTTGATTCTTTGCCAGGATGTGTTGCAGGAGTTTGCCTTTGGAGAAAGGCAAATTTGATGCAAGGATGATAATTATGTCCTCAGTTTCCACTTTTTGGATTAGTATCAAGATTGTGGGAGTTGGACAGCCAGAAAAATGTTTATTTGCTGTTCTGGCACTCATCACTTCATTGTTACCTGGATACTGTATCTGAATAGTTCCGTTTCTGTGTGGTGGTATCTCTCTTGCAAGGAATCTTTTTAAAGATCTTTTAGTCTGTTTATCCAACTTTCCATTCCTTTCTTTAATCCTCCTGTTTCTTCCCTTACTTTCACAATATATTATTTTCCAACCTTTTTTAAATTGTTTAATCATGTATCAATTGAACTAATTTTTACTTACTCATTCTCCCTTATTGATATTTCCTGCAAATATTTTTAAATTAGCATCTGTCTAAACCAGGGGTGTCAAACTCAAGGCCCAGGGGCCAGATCTGGCCCACAGGGTACTTAGAACTGGTCTGCGGGGCTGGCCTGGGAATAGTGAAGGATCGGCCTGCGGTGCTTCTGCCAGCAAAAACAGGCTCTGGAGCTCCATTTTTGGCTGCCACGGCCTCCTGCAACCCTCTGCCAGTGAAAATGGAGCCATGTAGGAGGCTGTGGCAGCCAAAAATGGAGCTTGGGAGCCATTTTCACTGGCAGAGTGCTCAGACCACCAGAGGCGCCCTGACTGGTGAGCTGGCCATATTCACTCTGGCCACACCCACTCTACCCCGAGGTCAAACACAACCCTGATGTGGCCCGCAATGAAATTGAGTTTGACATCCCTAATCTAAACTGTAAATACCATAGGTCTGTGCATCTAGATTCTCCTTTTCCTCCTTTTTTTCCCCCCTTTTGCCTTACAAGCAGTGTTCCCACACAGCGGAGATTTTTATAGAACTGCTCCTGCTGGTGGCTCATTCATTGTGGTTTTTGGCAAAGGATCCTTATTAGCAGAATGGCAAGCACTGGATAAATATGTGCCATCTGGAGAACTTTAAAGCATTACATTTGTCTTTCAAACCATGCCAGTTTGGTTCTTCTCTGTTTGGAACATTAAAAACAGGCCCCTATTCGAATAATTTACTTGTGGAAAGTTTTCAGGCCAGCCAACTCAGTGTGATCCAGGAAAAAAGGAAGTTTTCATCTCTGGGTTGATTGGGACATTTAAGACATAGTTACTACCTATAATTGCAGTCCTTAAAAATCCCCAGTGGTGCATATGGACACATAATAAATAATATGTGCATACTATGTATAACAATAATATAGCAGATATAGATGTTAAAGGACTATTGCCATGGATGAATCTCTTTGATCTCTTTGTTGTAATGTTCTTACAGCAGCTATACTTAAATTCCTCAAATATAGACATGACACAGATTTCAGTGTGTGCAGGGTCTGTACCAGATCATTGCTTTCATAGAATCATGTCCAGATCTGGCTTTTCATGATCCTTCTATATGCTGGGAGACAGAGCGTGGGGTATATTATTATTTCACTTTTATTTTTATTTTGTAATATTTATAGATCACACAATTCAGTCAGTCTTTGCTTGGTTCCTCAAGTTTCTCATAGGATCGGCTTGTTTCATGCTGTATTAACTTTAATGAGAGATTTTCTTAAAGGGGCTGCAACTTTTTTTTCAAACTTATGCAGAAAACATTTTTTAAAAAATGACAAGTTGCTTTAAAGAAAGCAGTTCACACAAAATTGAAAGTGTCTTTTTCAGCCAGAAGTCATTTTGCGTGCAAATAATTGTCCATGAATCGCATCTTTACACCTTCCAGCTTCATCATTTATATTCTTTAATCATCATCCGTTAAAGTGAATTTCACAATTAAAGCTGTTTAGGTATATATTTTCTGGTCACAAATCCTTTCCAAATGCAAAGCAGTTCCAATAAAGGAGAATATTTGTAGCTCCTAGTTGAAATGAGGGGTCTTTGGTGCTCTCTCTGAGCTTGGTTGTTTTCTTACAGTCATTTCATTACCTATCTAGATCAGTGCTAGCAAGCTTAGAGAACACCAAAGACCCCTGATAAAGCAGTTCTTTATATGTAAAGTCCATAGATAAGAAAATCAATATATAGGTAGAGCAATTATGGATGAGCAAAGAGAACAGAACCATTAAATCTCCTTCTGCTCAGCAATTTTCAGTTCATTCTTGCAAATACCAATAGCACTTAAACTTATATACCACTTCACGGTGCTTTTACAGCCTTCTCTAAGAGTGATTTACAGAGTCAGTGTATTTGCATATCTAGGGTCTCATGTTACCAACCTCAGAAGGATGGAAGGCAACCTTGAGCCTGGTGAGATTCGAACTGCTAAATTGCAGGTAGCCAGCAATCAGCAGAAGTAGCCTGCAGTACTGCACTCTAACCACTGCACCACCATAGGTACCAAAAATCAATTCCATTAGTTTCTTGGGAGTTACTTATACTTAATCTCTAGCTAGTAAGGCCTTTGTTATCATGGGTGATTTCAAATTCAGAGAGTTCACTTCGCTTGAGGATTATACTTTTTGACCCTTCTTATCTTAACGTCTTACTGCTAAGTGGCCTTTATGGTCCTCTTTGCAACTATCGTTACCTATCCTTCAAACGCATACCTTCAGTGACTTCTGTGAACTTTCTCCCAATCCAGGAACAAGTTTGGTATCAGCTGAAGGGAAAAAAAACCTACATTCTCTTGATCTCTTTGACTTGCTGCAGTTCTCCAACCAAGTGGCCCAGGGGATGACTTTCCTGGCTTCAAAAAACGTGAGGACATTCTGACAACATACATCATCATCATCATCACCATCATCCTAAAAGGAGTTCAGGCCCAAGCTTGATTTCCTGTATTATCTTCCTACCAGGAAGGAATTTCGTTGTTATTACACACAATAATATACAGGTAGTCCTCAACTTACAACAGTTCGTTTAGTGACTGTTCAAAATTACAGTGGCACTGAAAAAAGTGACTTATGACCATTTTTCACAGTTATGACCATTGCAACATCCCCATAGTAACATGACTTACATTCAGATGCTTGGCAACTGGTTCATATTTATGATGGTTGCAGTGTCCCAGCATCAGGTAATCATATTTTGCAATCTTCTGACAATCAGTCAATGGGGGAAGCCAGATTCACTTAACAACCATGTTACTAATTTAACAACTGCAGAATTTCTACCATGTTTCTCATATAATAAGACCAGGTCTTTTTTTTTTTTTGAGCCCCGAAAAAATGGCTAGGCCGTCTATTCCCCCCACTTTGCATCTTCGGGCGGGTGGGCAGCAATGGCTTGGATGTTGACCTCGGCGTTGGTGGGGCACTTCGTATCGGGGTTAACGCAAGCAGCACGATATCCGGGTGTGCAACAAAAGTACTTCCTAACGGCAAGCCCCCCCACCATTCCCCCCCATTTCGCATGTTTTAATATAGGCCTTAATTTGGGGGGGGGGCTTAATTTCATTTCATGCCTATAAAACATGCTGGGACTTCCTATTGGGGGAGGCCATATTGTTGGAGAAACAGGGTACTTAACAAATATGGCAAGAAAAATAATAAAATGGGGCAAAACTGACTTAGCAACATAAATTCTGGGCTCAATTGTGGTCGTACGTTGAGGACTACCTGGACAATCAGTTCATAGTGCTGTGATTCCTGAGATGATCCATGTATAATTTAAGAATTTGTTCTTAGTGGGTATACTACTTGGAAGTATTCTTTTGGATTCTGTCTTTAATCACACACAATTCTGTGTAGCTTTTGAGAACAATAGCGTCTGTGTGAGAGTGAATATATAGTCCTGTTAAAGATAATGTGAACACTGTGTTCTCACTTTCTAACCAACATAAAAAGAAGCAGATTTATTGATTGATTGATAAAATTTATATGTTTGCCATTTAGGATACAAACTTTGGGCATCCATTTGAATATGTGTTTGCTTAGCTGCTGTAGGAAGCAAGGAGTAATCTGACATAAAGGTTAGCTTTAGCAACCCTTGTCCTTTCCAATGGTTGCAACTGAAAGTAACAGTTGATGATTTTTGATCCTTTCTTATAAATCCTATTGACAAGAACACTCTCTTTGGTTCTTTATTGCAGCAGAGCTGTCCATAAAAATTATATTCAACAGGAAATTCAGTGGCTGAGACACAGATTCTATAAAATAATAGGTCTTTCCCTCTCTTCCTATACAGAGTTTGTACAAGTGTTGTGTTGCTAAGTGGGGCACTGCTTATGTGGTACCCTAATAGCTTTGTCAACCTTTAGATAATGGATGCACTGAGATAGGAAAAACTGCAAAGTAACATTTATAAGAAAGGAAAGAACAACTAGGTGTATTTGCGTTATTCTGACCTTTGAACGTCCACTTACAGTTCAAAAGAAAAAGACAACAGGAGGGTTCACAAAAGTAACTTTGCATTGGTCAATTCAAATAGTTGAATTAGCCAAATGCATCCACAGATGATTAAATCTTTTGTAGATATATTGGCACAATCAGTAAGTAGATATTTTTGCACAAGGTGTCCTAAATGGCACTTTGTCTCCATCTGTTTTTCGTCTGTAAATTTTCAGGATTACTATAGCTTGGAAGAGGCATTCAAGGCTGTAATAAAGTTCTTCCCTTCCCTGTTACTCTAGATTGCATTAATTCCATGGACCTAGACCACATAAAAATGTTTGCAAATGCCAGGCTGAAGACTTTTGACTGCCCCTGCACTGGCCAAACTGGACTAAATGCGCCTTGCTACTAATCAAGTTATAGAATCAATAAATTGAAACGAAGAGCCTGTGGGTGCTCCTTTAGGCCTGAAAGCTATCTGAGTGAGCCTGGACCAATCAGTCCCTCTGTTTGCCCAACTCACCTCAATGGGTTGTTGTTGTAGGGAAAATAGGAGGAGGAAGGAGTGTTGGATATGTATCCTGCCTTGAATTTTTTTTTAAAGGTAAAAATAAATAATTAAATGAGAAGAAAATCAATTTGTCCCTTCCCCACCCCTCCTTTTTTTTAAAAAAAAAAAAAATCCAGTGCATCCATCGAGATTTGGCAGCACGGAACGTGCTAGTGGCTGATGGACTAGTGGCTAAGATCTGTGACTTCGGCCTGGCCAGAGATATTGTGAATGACAGCAATTATGTCGTGAAGGGCAATGTAAGTAACTGGAATGAATCTATACATTTACACCCCATAAAGCTGAATCAAGCTCTAGATTTACTTGGCTCTGGAATGTCTGTATGGATTGATACCACCTGTCTAAGCATCCCTCCGAAGTGAACCTGAATGCAGGGATCATCTTCATGCAAAGAACATGCTCTAATGTTTAACCTCTAAAGAGCCCAGGTAGAGAATGCTAAGCACAAGGGCTTCCTCCTGAGTTTAGATAATATCCTTCCAGGCTCGCCTCCCAGTGAAATGGATGGCACCAGAGAGCATCTTTGAATGTGTCTACACAGTACAGAGCGATGTGTGGTCTTATGGCATCCTTCTCTGGGAGATATTCTCTCTAGGTAAGGGAAGAACATTTCTATATTTGTTTCTTTGCGCCTGCCTGCTTGTCTGTCTTTTCTATGCGGAAGGGCTTTGTCAGAAATGCAGCTTTGGGATTCATGCATCCAAATCATGATGCAAAAATATGAATAACAGAATAACAAGAGTTGGAAGATACCTTGGAGGTCTTCTAGTCCAACCACCAGTGCAAGCAGGAAACCTTACACCATTCTGGATAAATGGCTGTCCAATGTCTTCTTAAAATCTTCCAGTGATGGAGCATCCACAACTTCTGAAGGCAAGCCATTCCACTGGTTAATAGTTCTCACTGTCAAGAAATTTCTCCTTGGTACTAGGCTGGTTCTCTCCTTGATTAGTTTCCATCCATTGTTTCTTATCCTGCCCTCTGGCGCTTTGGAAAATATGTGGTAATTCACATGATCTTAATTCTATCCCTCTGTTAATGCAGCCTAGGACTGAATTAGCCTTTTTGGCAAGACTTACTTGTGTGCATTGTATATTGGGATGCCAGTATATCCAAGCAGTTTTTGGACTATGTGTGTGCTATTATTTCAATATAGTCTTGCCTTGCTGCAGACAAATAGCAGGAGACACTTCATTTGTGAGGAGTTGAGAAAAGTTTTTAGGAATGAAAGGCTTTCATAGCATTCCTTTAAAAAAAAATGAATATCTTAAATCAAGATGATATTTCCCATTGTTGGTGGGTTTTAATGGGAAAGATTTTGTCCCTTCAACCCTGCTCCAAAAACTAAATACTTTTACTCTTGCCCATTGTCTTTGTGCCTCAGTTTCCTCCAATTGTGCTCTCAAACTGCCTGCAAAGAATGGCCAAGGTGAAACGGATTCCTAAGAAAATTTAGCTACTTCTATAGGGAGCATTCTAAAACTGTAGGGTCCTTCCTTCATATGAGCATGACCAATTTTCTTGTGTTTCTAGGAAGAAGTCCCTATCCTGGCATAAAAGTGAATAATAAGTTTTATAGCCTTGTGAAACAAGGATATCATATGGGGAAGCCAGATTTTGCTCCAGATGATATGTAAGTAAAAGAACTACAGCTCCAGGTGCTCAAACCATTCATTCATTCATTCATTCATTCATTCATTCATTGAACTTAATGGGCATGCATGGGAAGTCTGGAATAGAAGCTTTGTGAGACCCATCAGTAATCTGATTGCTAATTCCCCATTCATTCATTCATAATATTTTTCCAAGAAAACTCAGATGGGTCATGGGGTCTGAACCACGCCAAAGGAGGAATAAGAGTGCCCAAGTAGATCAAAGATGCAGAACCATAGGTGATTTCCAATCAGCTGTCACATATTATCATGCAATTTGCTTCTGAAAGTATTTTCTTCCTTGCCCACCTTCCATCTCCAATACAGGTACAATATAATGACGGCATGCTGGAAATTGGAGCCCACTCAACGGCCAACTTTCAGTCAGATCTGCACCTTAATTCAGAAGCAGCTGGATGCCATTAAGGAACAGGTGAGTGGTTTATTTTATAAAATTCAAAAACAAGAAGCTGGTTCAGCCAAGATTGTTCTTCCATATTTTTTTTCATTTTGTCACAAAAGTTGTCATAAAAAAAATCTCCCAAAACACCTTATGCTGCTTCTTTAAATGCTGTTCTCCCCATATACCCCAAACACAGTCATTTGTATGCACAGCAAAATAAAAATAAGAAAGATAAAATGATATAAACAACAGCTTGGGTACTCTGCGTAGATAAATATATAAACAATGCAACATTGACTCAAGACCAGAGTAAATATATTTTAAGTAATTTAAATTGAATTTACCTTTTTCAAAATGACACATTCCAGACTCTGAAGTAAGTATGTTTGTATTTCTTTCTCTCCTCCTTTGTATCATGAAGGATTATACAAACTTGCCCTGCCCCAGAGAAGAGCAAGACAGTGGATGTGACCCTACCAGCTGCTTTGAAGAATCCTGTGAGTCAGGAGAAGTGGAGCAACCCCTTCTTAACAGCAACAATTATCAGTTTTGTTAGGGTGTATTGTTCTGGGCCTTCTGGATGATGAAATACCAACTGAGATTGGACTTGGATTTCATGCAACCCCCAATCCCTTTTTGAGGCTTTTCACATCAGAAAACGAGAGAGTCATACATAAGTCACAGACTGGGTTCGTGCCTTGCACTGACAGCAGATTCCTAAATTCTCCCATTCTACCTGATTCTAACTACTGGCAGGAGGGGTTGATCACTGTTGACAGCTTAACCTATATAGGACATTGGTGAATCGGTGCCTCAACTTTGCAGAATGGGAGAGACTGTGCAGTCGCAGGAAACAAAGCTTAATAAGGCAGATGGACTTACTTTCTTTTCTCTATATACCTTTCTGCTACAAGCTATCAACCCTATAAACTAGATATGTGAGAGGTAAAAGAATAAGATTACCCACATTTTGTGCTAGATGGGGGTTTTGCAGAGCAAGAACAGGGAACAGAAAGAAGTGGAGGCATTCCCCTTGTAACCTGCCATTCTACAGTCATTTCTTGTAGCTTAGATGGGCAGACTGAAATCCATGGCAGATAATCAAACCAAAAGGGGACCTCACTGGAAGAGAGGTGTCCTTTGGCAGTAGGAAGGATTGTTGAACATAAGGAGGATGGTGGGAAGATTTCTCGAGAGCCACTGCATTCATCTCATCCTTGAAACAACCTCCAAACCTGGAAAAATAACCAAACTTCTACCATTTTGCCACTGAGTTTTGGCATGGGTTGAAAGGATGGGCCAAAAGTTGTTCACCCATCATAGAGAAGAAAACTGCTGGGCCAGTTAAAAAAAGAAAATAAATCTAATTCTCCTAAACTTTTTTTTAAGCTTCAAGAAGTAGCAACTCTGTTTTTCTCTCATTTGGCATTACCATTTCACAGCATGAGCATTACTTGGCAATAATTGTTTGGATATTATTACTGAAAGAAGGGAATATAAGCCACTCACTGTCCCTCTGTATTGAACTGGCATAAAACCACCAATAAATTAATTACAGGTAATCCTCAACTTATGACCACAATTGAGCCCAGAATTTCTGTTGCTTAGTGAGAAATTTGTTAAGTGAGCTTGGCCCCATTCTACCACTTTTCTTGCCACATGTGTTAAGTGAATCACTGTAGTTAAATTAGTAACATGGCTGTTAAGTAAATCTGGTTTCCCCATTGACTTTGCTTGTCAGGAGGTCTCAAAAGAGGATCCTATGACCCCGGGACACTGCAACCGTCAAATAGGAGTCAGTTGTCAAGCATCCAAATGTCAATCACATGACCATGGGGATGCCACAATAGTCAGTCACTTTTTTCTGTGCCATTGTGAACAGTCACTGTTCACAACTGTTGTAAGTCGAGGACCACCTGTACCATGTTTTTCTGTAAAAACCAGCCTGTTAGCTAAGATTAGATTTAGATATAGGTTCACTTGTTATTAATGAATACTTTATAATATAACCTTACATATGTTTATTTCAAATCAAAGACTATTAAGTGAAATCAAACTAATTTCCAAATGAATTGTAAAGATCGTTGCTTTTAAATTTCCTGATTTTCAATGTTTATCTATTAGATGGGAATAAAGAATAAGTGCAAATTATTTTGGGTCATATCTTTTTGACCCTGGGAAGGTCACAATGCATAATTGCATGCATGCATTTGTATGTACATATGTGTTAAACTTTAGAATTGGTAAAATGGAAACTCTAGTTTCCATTTTATCAATTGCTCTAGAGTTTAATGCATATGTTACAATACTAGCTTAATTTGACTACTAGCTTAGTCTGGAAAATACTGTCCATCTCTTGATGGACAGCTTATCTGGTGGGAAGATACCATGTAGAAATGGTGGTAGGAGAAACCCTCCCATACTACCACCTCTTACAATACTAGACAACACAGTATCAACAGTAGAGACCTTCAAATTACTAGGTTCTATCATATCTCAAGACTTAAAATGGACACCTAACATCAAAAAAGCACAACAAAGAATGTTTTTTCTGCACCAACTCAGAAAGCTCAAACTGCCCAAAGAGCTGCTGATTCAATTCTACAGAGGAATTATTGAGTCTGTCATCTGCACCACTATAACTGTCTGGTTTGGCTCTGCAACCAAACAAGACAGACACAGACTTCAATGGATAATTAGAACTGCAGAAAAAACAATTGCTACCAACCTGCCTTCCATTGAGGACCTGAATACTGCAAGAGTCAAAGAGGGCTGTGAAAATATCTACAGACCCCTCACACCCCAGACATAAACTGTTTCAACTCCTACCCTCAAAATGACGCTATAGAGCACTGCACACCAGAACTACTAAACACAAGGGCAGTTTTTTCCCGAATGCCATCACTCTGCTAAACAATTAATTCCCACACCACTGTCAAACTATTATTATTCTCATCCATCCTAGTACTTATCTCTTCCCATTTATGACTATAACCGTGTTATTTGTATCTTTACAATTTATATTGTTTTATTTGTTTCCTAGTATGATTTGATTGTTTATTGGTAACCTATAACTATCACTAAGTGTTGTATCTTATGATTCTTGATGAATGTATTTTTATTTTTTTCATATGTACACTGAGAATATATGCCCCAAAGACAAATTCCTTGTGTGTCCAATCACACTTGGCCAATAAAGAATTCAATTCTATTCTATTCTATGGGAAGATGATGCCTCTTAGTCTTCCCACCAGATGTAAGGAGAATCTAATCCTTCACATACTACTGAATTAGAGTGCAGTAAAATAGTAGTAGTACTTGAAATTATAGCTCAGTGAAATGATAGAACTGTACATTTTTGAATTAAGAAGATGCAGCTACATTCTATCTTCATATTAAGTTATTGTAAGATATTAGTTTGAAGTCCTAATTGGAACCTTAGTAACACAACACAGCTGTTAAGTTGTGAACTGGAAGTGATCATAAGAATTGTCTTGCACTTCGATGAGCTACCAAACTGCCATTCCATGAATATCATTTAACATACTAGTGTTTGTTTTTAAAGAGCTCAGCAGGATCAGAAGTTTACATGGCAAAATCCTAATATTATTTCAGTCAGGCTTTTTAATATATTATAGTCTTCATTATTATGTAGGATTTTATCACTCCATCACTCCATCATTCCTTATTCTGTGATTAAACTGATCTTTTAGTTTCTAGTATTTATCTTCCCTTTGCATTGCTGAGAAAAAGCATAGCTACATACTGTAGTATTTTGTAAACTCAAGAGAACAAGCAAACTACAGGCAACATAAGACTACTGACAGGTATTTTTTCCAAGCTGTTTTTATAGATAATAAAGGATTTTAAAAATATCCTATTAGAGAACAAATAGGCAATCGGTGTGGGACATTTAATAAGTATTTATGCCTGAAACACTGGTGATTGTATGTATGTGCTCAAGTTGCTAGGACAGATGTTTTACTGTCTTTGACCTGCACTTCTATTTGATAAGGCTGTGCAAAGCACCACTCTTTAGAATTGTTAAAGTGGAACAATTGTTTACAAAGTTACAAAGCAAAACAATTATTTACAAAAATCCATAAAATTGTTTACATGTTTTTTTGTAAATTGTTTACAAAGTTCATGCATTCTTTATCTATTTAAAAAGAGGGTCTCCTACACCGCAATCTCTTTCAGTGAGCACAGTCCTGTTTGTTTCCCAGTGATGGCTTTAAACTTGCACTAGACCCGAACAGCTCCAAATAACTGGAATGATTTACCCACTGTTAAATAATTGCTCTGTTTAATACTTTTTACACAGGTTTTATGTAAGATTATTCACCTTGCTAAGCAATCATCCCTGAAGCTTACACAAATGAAAATATTCATGATGCTTAGCCACAATTGTCTTATATAAATCACAAAACCTATGAATAGACTTAGGAAGGGAACATGTCTTTTACTGCACGAAACTCCAACTAACAGATTACAAGTGCTCAGATATTGCCAGATCGCTATTAAAAAAAATTAACTACTGTTTCAAGCATCTTAATGTAATAATCGCATAAATGTGAATTTATTTGTAATTCAACTATCATGAAAAATAAATCAATTTGATCAAGTAACTTGCAGTCTCTTTTTTTAAATCTTTATTTTCCCCTTGTGTAAACTTTACAAGGCTGATTTTTACAAATTCCCAATAGTAAATATTAGATGATTATATTAATTGCAACAGTACTTAAGTAATTATGTTAAGAAAAACAAAACCCAGCAACCTGATTGTCTGATTTTATGAACTCTTGTATAATTGTTTAATATGGCTACTAAGACCGGGGCTGTGGGGGAGAGGAGAGAAAGTCTGTCATTTTTTTAGTTTGTGATGGAACTATTATGTTTGGTGGTATGAGAAAATTTTGTATTGTTATTTGTTTACCTGTTAGCCACCCAGAGTTATCTTATGTAACTTGAGCAGCCATACAGATCCTTTAAATAAATAACCAAGCATACATAAAGCATTATTCTATCCTGAATGTTGGTTTAGTGCTGGTTTAGCCCCTCTGCTGCATGAGCAGTGAGAAGGGAAATAGTTCAGTACTACATGAGTAGAATGATTAGTACAGTAGCGAAACTCAGAAAATGGTTTCTTTAGTTTAGAAACCACTGAAATTAATACTATTTCAGATAGACACAATAAAACAAAACTGTAGAGTAAAAGCACATTTAATTTTTTGAATGAGAGGAAAAAAATAGAAGCATAAGCAGTATGTGTGGCCTGTGAAACTAGATCTGCAAATCATTTGTGGAGTGTATTAACCTGTCATAATAAATGAGATTTGCAAAATCTAATTGAATATTAAAAATAGATACAAATCATTCATATTCTGTTTTTATCCTTCATAACATCTAAATGAGCTCAGATTATAAAGTTAAGAAAACAAAACATGCATTTATGCTGGCTCGAATTACCCAATCATTAAGTGTTATAACGAAAACAATTTAAATTCAGCATCAATAGATTCTGTAGGGTTTTTTTTTTTCAAAAACAATAAACTAATAATACTGTTTCAGCACATCTAAAATTCATCTTTTCCATGCAAACATTTGATAAACACTTCCATCTTATGGATTGTTAACTCTTATTATTTAGCAACCAGAAGCTACAAAATAAGGAAAACTCATTTGTCCAAATAGTTTTACTCTCCAACACTGGAAGAGATAATTTATTAAAGTTTACCACTGACTTAAAAACTGTATTTCATACATTAGCATTTTAAACAGCAAGTCGTAAGTTTTGCTCAGAACTTTAATAAATTTCTTTTTCGTTGTTTTTTTACAGCACAGTACACACTAGAACTCTTCACAGAAGAGAGTTTTAAATCCACACCACAAATCTGAACAAAACATAGTGGATAACTTTACCTCAGTCAGGAAATCTATTTTTTTTTTACTTTTGAGATTTATGGATGGCTAAGAATGAACACAAATCAGTGAATAGTGTAGAGCTTACACATCATGGCTCATCACATTACACAGGAAAACCAATATGTAATAATTGAATATGACAGCATGAACTCATGTCAGATTTATAACACTCAAATGGTAGAGTATGTAGTGGTTTCCAAGTGGCCCTTAAAGGTAAGTGTTATGTTGCATGCCTAACAATTTTAGCCATAGAAATCATTAGAAAAAACATCAGATTGTATTCATGGAACCCAACCATTATTCCATAAATATCTTTAGTAGCATCTGTGGTCAGAGGAATAAACAATCAATTAAGTCCATTAACTGGATTATAAAGTAAAGTGCCTGAATATCCACGCCTGACTATTAGCCCCCATCCCTTATCCAAAACATATAAACCCCTGAAGAACCTTTGAAATAACCATGCTTGTCAGGGCAATGATGCTTCTAGCAGCATATAACTTAATATGCAAGCCAGTTTAACTTTCAACCACTAAATAATGTCTTGACGGGAAACAGATTGACGGGGAACAAGCTGAAGAAGCAGATAAACTCAAGCCACCAATGCCAATTCAAAGTTCAAGTTTTTTCAGAATAGAAACTTAATAGATCTAGGTTACAAATATCCTTCAATCTATGATTCAATCTATGATGGCCACTT